TGCGATGAGGTAAACGCAAACTCTGTCCAAACAGCTGACACAGGATGAACCCCAGACTGGAGACTTCCTTTAGAAAAGCTCCAACCTCGGCCTCCCACTCTGAAATGGTCTCCCCTAAGAGTTCAGAGCTTCTGTTCTGAATTAATCATTTTTTCCTGTTTTTTCAGTCCATACCATGCATAGCAGTGCTCTCTGAAATGAATGAACTGGACAGAGAAAGACAGCTGCAAGCAGCACAAAGGTAAAACTAATTTAAGACATAAATTGGCTGAACTTTATTGCTCACTTCCTTATTATTACTAATCTGGCCTGTTTTCTTGTCCATTTGCTTTGGAACATTTTTGAGTCACTGTGCTGTGGGACACGTTAAGTTTCACTTGAACATAATGTGCAAATAGAACCTCTATTAATGCTTAGAAATGTTTATTATAAGACAGTAGTTTCTCTTTTCCTTATGTACTAACTTGACAAGAATTAAGATGAGTCTTGAATTTGATAAACAAGCATTTTGTTTTTAAATTAGTACAAATGACACCTTTTTTAAAAAACATTTTAATCAGTTTTATTTTGTGTGGTCTTCCACATAAAATCCCAATACATTAAAGTTTTTAGTTGTTGAACAAGTAAAGGTGGAAAATTGCAAGAGGAGTGAAAACTTTTGCATTTACCTCTTCCTTTCTCAACCTTGTGGTTTACTCTACTGAAACACTATAAAGTCATTAGGTTAAGTTTGTTCCAGCACCAAAAACCATGTGATTTTACTTAAACTGATTGTTTATATGAGCCCACTAGCAGAACCTGCTGCTGATCGTTTGTCCTAATGAAATGTTTGCATCCTCACTCTGATGATTTCTGTAATTTTCTGTTTAAAAAAATTCAGCAAATGAAACCTCAGCGCCACCATCTTTAGATTTTCTCCTCTGCACATAAACATTAAATAACTTGTGAGCAAAACTAGTTGAGGATAAAAGCAGTTTGTGTTTGTCTTCACCGTAGCTCAGTTTGTGGAAAGGAGAACTTGATTCATGATGCGTTTTCCTTCTGTTCCCATTTGTTGGTTTCTCAGTGGATGTTTGTTTGTTTTTTCAGCTCCTCAGATGATTCACATGGTGACGGTTTAGCTGTATCTGGCAGCACTGAGCAGGTAGAACCACCTGAACAGCACATAGTGCTATATTTCTATAATTTATTTAAAGATAAATATTTTATTGAACTTTGATTCTCCAGCTTTCATGTAACTACTTCTGCTGCCATCTAGTGGTTGATTTTCATTTTTATTTCTTTTAGGTTAAGAACAAATCGGGAACTGCTAAGGGGAACATAAGTGATGGGAATTTTGGCAGCAAGAAAATTCGTGCTTCATTTGGTCGTGGCTTTTTTAAGCTGCGTGGCGGCAAACAGACAGCCAGTGCACCCAACCTGGGTGAGCAGAACATTTTTTAATCACTTTTACATGCTTCTAAACTGATACTGGACCTGGAGTACCACTGAATGCACCTAGTGTCATTATTAATTAAGAATGATGCCTAAAATAGATTCTGCAGTGACGATGGAGACATCATGTTTTTTTTTTCTACATGACAGCAAAATCAGTGGAAAAAAAATGCATGCATTTAAATATTTTATGAGGTTAAATGAATCAAACTCTGATCTCGCTTTGTCTTTGACAGCTGAGACTGAACGTAAAGGCACAGATCACCTCGACCTCGCTGGTGTTCCTCCACAGAAACCCCGCAACGCAGCTCCTCTTCCGTCGTCTCCAGAAGCCAAGAAGAAGTCGAGCGGGTTCAGGAAATTCTTTGGCAGGTAAAGCACGGTGTACAGTGTGATCTTTGACTTGGGCTCACATGAGTTTGTGTGTTTAAACATGCGTCTCTTGCAGGCTAAAGAGAAGCCACTCCACCTCGTTTAACCTGGACGATGGGGCTGAGACGGAGTTCAGGAGGGGCGGAGTCAGAGCCACGGCCGGGCCTCGGCTCGGCTGGTCGCGCGACTCAAAACACAAGTAAGTTGAGATTTGCAATAATTACTTGTACCAGCTGTTTAAATATAACAGTAAATTAATAACTCATGAAAATAACTTTCTTGATGAGGTCAAATTTGGTCTAAAATAAAAAAATTCTGTACTTTTATTGATATTTAGTTTATACCAAACTAATGCTATGTTAACACTGCAGGCTTTAATGCTCGATTCCAATTTTTTTGTGAAATCAGATTATGTCCAAATATATGCAACTTGTATGTGAACTGCAAACAGCCTGACAATGTGCCACATTTGCAGTAGAGGGCGCAGTAACACCAAATGCAGCGAGCGCCATGATGAAGAACTGTCAGTGATTGCAGAAGTAAACATGGATACTAATAGTGGAGCGTACCTTATGAGTTTAAAGTTATCCGACCGGAACCAGCACATTAACAATTTAATTTAAGACCTGTTTTTTCACTTTGGCCCCATTTGCACCATTTTGTGTGAATGATTGTTTGGATTTAATTTGCTGATAAGAGTTGTGTGTCTGTGTTCAGGGCTGTTGATGTTCCTTTCTCTCGGTGGAGGAAGGAGGATGTTTGTGCCTGGCTACAGGAGCAGGGCCTGGGCTTGTACGCAGCTCAGGGTCAGAACTGGGTCAAATCGGGACAAACTTTACTGCAGGCATCACAACATGATCTGGAGAAGGTGGGAGTTGTTTCCTGTTCACAAGTTACAACGTCACTTGTTTTAATGAGTCACACTGTTGTAAGATTCATGTATTTTATTAAGAGATAAAACAGGATGTGATTCACCTTAAGTAGATTTACTCTTCCTGTTTTCCCTGTTAGGAGTTGGGAATGAAGCTGCCTCTCCACAGGAAGAAGCTGCAGCTCGCCCTGCAGGCTCTTGGCTCAGAGGGTGATGACCTTCAGGGCAAACTGGACCACAACTGGGTCACCAGTGAGTGACGGTGCTTCAGAGCAGACCTGCTGTCTCCAGCAGCTTGTTTAGTTTCTGCACTGATGGTTTGTTTTCTTTTCCAGGATGGCTGGACGACATCGGCCTCCCGCAGTACAAGAGCAACTTCGATGAAGCCCGAGTTGATGGACGCATGTTGCACTACATGACAGTGGTGAGCTGGGAGCTTTTAACAAGATTCTTAACAAGTTTGAATAATAAAAGAGTGTTTCTCCATTCTCTGCTTTTAAAACACCTGAATCAAGTAGTTTGTAAATGTTATGCTGTTTCTTCATCCTTTGTAGGAAGACCTGCTGTCTCTGAAGGTTGGGAGTGTTCTTCATCACCTCAGCATCAAGAGAGCCATCCAGGTTCTGCGTCTGAACTCCTACGAACCCAACTGTCTGAGGCGCCGCCCTTCTGATGAGGTATTACGAAGCCTGACATTTCTGCTCCGATTCACAGCTGATGCTTTCTAATATTTCATTTTGTTTGTGCAGAGCAACATCACGCCGGCTGAGATCTCTCGGTGGACCAACCACAGAGTGATGGAGTGGCTGCGCTCTGTGGATCTGGCAGAATACGCACCCAACCTTAGAGGGAGCGGAGTTCATGGAGGACTGATGGTGAAAACCTGATGAGTGTTTATAGTCGGGAACCTCCAGAATCGAATCAACTAACTGCTTCGTGTGTCTTGAAGGTGTTGGAGCCTCGATTCAACGTGGAAGCGCTCGCCCTCCTGCTCAACATTCCTCCCAGTAAAACCCTGCTGAGGCGCCACCTGGCCACACACTTCCACCTGCTGGTCGGCTCAGAGGCGCAGCGCCTCAAACAGGAATGTCTGGAAAACCCGGATTACAGCGTCCTCACAGCAACCGCTAAGGTTAAGGTAATTAATCGCTCTGCAAATCCGCTTCTGTGATTTAATCTTTTTGGAAAACTTACACTTGCAGAACTTGTTTGTTTCAGCCAAGACGTTCATCTTTTGGTGGTTTTGGCTCCCTGAGGAGGAAACGTCATGACGACGGAGAGGATTACATCTGTCCCATGAACGTGGAGATGCCGAAGAGCAGCAGCTTCCAGAGAAACGTCCGCATCTACGAAGAAACTCTGGACCACTTGGAGCAGGTAGAGAGGCGTTTCCACTGCAAGTCATTCTAGATTAGGTTTACTAAGTAAAATCTGAGCTGTGCCTCCTTTTCCACACAGATGGAGGATTCTGAAGGAGCAGTAAGAGAGATTGGAGCGTTTTCAGAGGGAATCAACAACCTGACGGTACGAGGCCCAGCTGATATTCTAGCACAAGGTTTCCATATTTACTGGAAATGTGAAATGTTACTTCCTGTTTGTGTTTCAGAGCATGCTGAAGGAGGAAGAGCTGTTCCAGGTGATCTCAATTTGTCCCTCTGAGGATAATGCAGAAGCTCTCAACTCCTCCTGAGAAGCAGGTTACACCTGACCAAAGTATTTAGTCTCCATTCTGTATTTATTGAGGTTTCTCACAATATGCATGAACTGAAAATAGTTATTTTGTTTGCAGTAGAGGAGGCTGATTTGTTACAATAAATGTAGGTTCAGCAGCTTTCTGTGGAGTAGTTCTGAGCAGTCAGTGTCTTACCTGCAATATAGAGTTGAGTTTCACCTTCACCTTAGAGAAATCATTGTAGTTTCAGGAGTGAATTATGACTGCTCATAGCTACTCCAGAGAAAAGTTAAACATTTGTGCCACTGTAAGCTACATTGAGGTTAAAGGGATAGTACTGAGTTTTTTAAAGTGAGCTTATGTTAAGTTCTAAGCAGTTGGATGCCTTGAAGTAATTTTAAGACTGGACTTCTGTGTTGAAAGGCAAGAAGCATCTGCTTAAACTTTAACATACTTTCATTTAAAAAAAATCCTGCACTGTCCCTTTAAGCCAAAAACTGTGAAGCAGGAAGTCACTAAGTGAGCAACTTGTAACCAAAGAACCTTTTTTAGAAACCAAATCTTTGAATTTGAATTGTTTTGGTAATAAAAGTGAAGAAATAAATATTTAACTTCTCGTTTCTGTCCCAAAACAACCCCAGACATTTCTTCAGTAGCAACAGATTTTTATACTCCATGTTACAAGCAACCAGATTTACAATTTAGGTAACATTTAGCAAAAAACTGACATGTTCAACTTGGTGGCATTCAAGAGAAATGAAGCAGTGATGACCTTAAACACAGAATTCTGCAGGTTTTTAAGGCACTGGATGAACAGCCATAAAGCCACAGCAACTTTGTTAAAATGTCTCAACGCCAAACTAAAAATCCCATCTCAACATGATTCCCAACTCTTCCCCTGTGGTTTGGTCCTAGCTGCTATTCCTTTGCATCAATAATATCGCTGTATAAATAAACTGTGCAAATCCCTCTGCTTTAGTGCCTTCAGGACAGAGACAATAACAAAGCCCTTAAAGATCCAAACCTCTTTTGCTCCAAACGGACCGATGTCTAGAAGGTGAACCTGCGGTTGGGGGAGTGGCCCACTTTGTCCAAGTTGGGGTTGCAGGCGAACTGGATCATGGGTGGAGGTCCACACATCAGGATGAGCGCGTCATCACCAGGAGGGGGCAGACGCTCCCTCACCATGTCTTCATTGATGAAGCCCTGGCTGTACGCCCAGTCTGAGCACAGAAAAGTTAGAATGTCAGACGGCTGTTTTGGTAGTGACATCTGCTGGTGAAAACATGGGACTGCAACAATGTCACATTGGAAGCTGAATATTAAGAAAAGTGAGGATTCAAACTACAAATAAGTGAACTGACAGTTCAGCTGTAAATAAATAAACCTCGACTTAATCTTTAACCTCATTAGTCCAGTAGAGAGTGCCACTTTTCCCACACAAAGGAAAACTGCACATTGCTATTATTGCTGTGAAATTAACTTTGCTTAGGTACCTGGGCAAAAATACTAAATACCATCATGTAAACCTCAAGTCTTACATTTTTTAAACTGGTAGAAAACTGGTAAGTTTACAAACCATGAACTGAAAAAGCTCAACACACAGATCATGCAAGATTTGCACTTAGCAACAACAAACTATACATTAACTACATTATGTGATCCTGCATTAAGTTTGTTTAAACTGAAAATCTAACTAGATCTTGGAGTTCCTCAAGGCTATGTATTTAGTAATTTGCTTGTGACTTACTCAACTAAAAGTGAATCACATCATGATGCATTTACAGACTTAAATTAGTAGTTTTATAGCTAAAAATAGTTTGCATCTCAACATTTAAATGGTTCGTTGACATTTGAAGTGCTTTAAACCTGACAGAGTTCAGGTGAAACACTCTTCCAGGACTTACTTTCAGGCGCTCTGTCCACTGTGTACCACAGCTTGAATCGGTCTGGATGGTTGGCTTGAATCTCGTCCAGTTCGTCTCTCAGCAGGATGTCCTTCTCACTCTGTGGACACAGGAGTTGGGTTATTATACAGCGGTCCCTTCAGATGTGCAGAACATTATTGATAAATTGTGGACCTCACCTGGTTGGCGAACAGCAGATGACACACCGTTTGGTCCTGCGGGTCCTTCATGATGGCAGTGATGAGCTGCAGCATTGGGGTGATTCCTGCAGAAAGAGCAAGAAAGCCTCTGGTGTTATGAGTAACTACACAGTTTTTCTGTTAAAATAAACATTTGTGACTAAATAATGGAGCCGTTTGTGTTTGAAAGAGTCAGCTGATCAGATTAATCAGAACTCGTGAGAATCACACATGAAAGTTCCTCGTGATAAAATCTCAACTCTGCAGCATCAAATCAGCTCCACAAGCAAATGATTGAAAAACTGTTAGGCATTAAACGAACTGAATAAAAAGCCTCTGAGGGACAGTCACATTAAGAACCATGAGTTGAGTTTCAGGATATTAACAGATCAACTGCATGTAAATTACTTTTGTTTTGAACCTTAGATTTGTTGCATGTGAAAGTTTAAAGGTAATTATGCATCATAAATTAAGTTCAAATTTTTTCCAGTGGAAAATAAAATTGTAAAGTACATTTCAGCATTGTTACATGAAGTCAAGAGATTTCTATACTTGCAGGAAAATAGGCTCTCAAATCAGGCCTGTATTGTCCAGTTAGATCCCAGTTTTTATGCTTTTATTATGAAAGAGTTAGAAAGCAAAGGTTTTGCTCTTTAGCCTAGTTATGAAATAACTTCAACAAACACCAGACAGATGTGTCATGTTTGGTATTTCAAGTTTTCAGGTCATAGTTCTTCAGGAATCTCCTTTTTACAGTTGAGTAATGTTTGTGGTTTTTCAAAGATTTAACTAAAACTGGAACAAATCACACATGTCCATCTAAACTTCCCATTATCAATCATCTCAGTTGGTTATAGAGATATAACATCTAGGGAGCTGCACTAGACGCTCACAGAATTAGCTGACTGGTTTGATACGACAGAAAGCAAACAGTAGCTCAAATTAGCAGTAGTTGCAGCATAACACTATCTCTGAAGCAGATATGGTGCAGATGTGAGTTTTTCTAGCTCACCTGTTCCTCCAGCGATCATGCCCACTTGTTTGGCCGTCTTGGTCACAGCTGGAGACTTCTTATCCGCCTGAATGGCAAAAACACCTGGAGAAACAGCAGCAGGATCAGTTCTCAGCAGGGCTTAAAGTAAAAAGAAATCCTGACCCTGAAACTTATAGTGGTGAAATTAACTATACCGTTGCGATTGCCACAGATTAATAAAAAGTGTCTTTGAATAATGCAAACAATTGTTTCTAACAATACAATTAACTAAACACTCAAACTTAAATAAGACTTCAGTACATTTCAACTCAAAACAAAATGTAAAATGTCTGTGCCCTAAAGGTTTGCCTTACAGGCAAAAATCCCTCAACATTAAATAAGAGTCCTTTCAGTCAATGTTTTTGCAAGTAATTTAGAACATGCAACATTACCAACTAAATCAGTTTCTCAACCTTTTTGGGCCAGCGCCCCCCAGCCTTTATTCAGGTCCCTCTCCGCCCCCCAACAAAGAATTTGTAGGCTACTTTGCACTGACTATTATTTTATTATTAATATTACTATCACTATTGTAGATGTTTTGATTTTTACGCTTGTTTCTGTATTTATCATCAATGGGGAAGTTTGCGCAGCACGCAAACTTCCCCATTCACTCAGTGCGTTATAGTTACACATCGCTTAGGATTTGTTGCTGCGCGTTTGCGCAGTGTGAAGGAAAGAGGAGACCAGCTGCACAGGCAACAAGAGCCAATGATCGCCGATCACCGATCATGCACTTTTTCACGAAAATCGGCCCGATTATGATCGGTGACCGATCGATCGACACACCTCTAGTAAATGCTTTAGTAAAACCTTAGTAAAGGTT